ACAGAAACAAAATAAAGTCAACATTCAAATTCTTTTTTTTTTTTTTTTTTTTTTTTGAGGAAAACCCAATCTCACCTGGTGTTTCCGGAAGGTGTAGATCATAGTTGCATTGATGTAGTTGATGGTAATTCCAAGAGCCACAACCAGAACATTTTTGGCTAGTGCAGAGTCAAAAGAATCTCGTTTGAATTGGCCTGTTACTGCAGTAGATACATTTTGACCCAGCAGTGAAGAATTCATTGAATTCATGCAAAAATGCTGGAAAAATAAACACAAGATTTCTGTTAATATTTGTGAATACATTTTCACCTCACATTAAGATGTACAATTACTTACCCCAGTAAGTTACCAAAGGTAAGATGTTCAAGTGCTTTTGGTAAGTGACAACAGTTTTTCAGAGCCTGGCCTTATATTGAAATCCCAAATGGGTGTTGCTGTTTGAAATTATGTAATGGTTTTGAAGCATTAACATTTTGATCACTGGTTCTCCCCCATCAAACTAAAAGTTAGGGGTTAGGACCCAAACTTTGGGTCCACATGAGATGTAATATAATTTTTTTAATTTTTAATTTTTTTTATCTAGGTCAAGATAGTGAGTGCAGCACACTTGCACCCTCTATTGATCAGCCTCCACTGGTTATATTTATGAGTTTTGGTTCTCAGGAATCAGAATGAGCCTCACATGAGCCTCTTATTCATCATCATATCCAGTTAGTTTCAACCTAAAAAGGACTCTCTCTGTCGAGTTTGAACATGTCAAATCATAGCTCCTAACGTCTAGCTCCTAACTCATTTATCTTTGAAGCTATGTCATGGGGTCAACCACAACAGTCCTCATCTGAGAGGAGAAAGAGCTTCAGCTGTGTTTGGAGAATCTGGCAGTCCTAACCAGCGGTGGGACCAGCACAAAATCCATGTGATCCTACAGCAGTTTATTAAGAATATAACACCCACAAAATGGACTACAATAAATGCTTCTCAATTTCCTGCTCTACTTTTAATGAAATTTTAGCATGACAGTGTACATAAATGACCCGAGTGTTTTCACATGAGAGAGGATGCTGCTGTGGAGTAAGAAAGATTTGCAATAAACCTCACAGACTGTACGATCTGTAAACATGAACCACCTGCAACATCTCCATATGTGCCCAGGCACAGAAGAGAATAAATACTAGTATATCCTCTGGACTCACCATCAGCTGCAGCCTCTGTCCTGTCTTTTGTTCCAACAGATATTTCACCAAATCCTGTTCTTTTGTCTGTCTGCATTAGCAGAGAGCGTGTATGGGCTCCATCAATGGAGTTTATGCACATGAGCCATGTGGCTTTAAGTTTCATTTCTATAAACGTAAACAATGAGCAGAGATCTTCCTTATGTCATTAGATAATCTCCAAATAAAATACGTGAAGCTGCAATGGCCCTAAAAGCTTTTATTTTCATTCTCATATAAGGTTGTATTTATCCAGGTGTATTGTATAATGTCTGATTGAATGAAACTTTACAAACTCTCCGTGTAGACATCAGCCATGTTCAAAAACATTCAGGAAAAATGTGCAGTGCCTTGTGGGATGTCTCATAGCTCTTTACTACTGGTTAGGAAGCTCCCAAGGTTTCTATGCTGAAGGAGGTATGAAAGGAAGCATGCAGGCTCCTTTTCCTAACTCTTTCCTAATTCAGTGCACTATTCAGACAGTCCTTAGCATGGCAGATGGTGACGCATATTGGTTTTGGCTTAATGAGCTAAGAGCTTAAAGGTCAAACCCCAGCACCTACAGCCAAACAATTATCAGTGTTAGTGCAGCCTCTGTAGTTCAGGGACAATACGTTTCTTAAGTGCACACAGTATAACTTTAATTTTAATGTAGTTTCTAAGCCTGTCTTGTGCTGGTTCTAACTCGGTGCATCAAAAATGGAAGTGAAACTTATAAAACCTGTCAATATATTGTTCTCAGTGAATATACCATTTTCAAAACAATAAAAGGTAATATAGTGGTCCAAATATGTAATGTTCTAGTAGTTAATACCCGATAGAAGTAAAATACCCCCTCTTTAACTATTCATGATTAAAGCAAACTGAACATGGCAGGTACTTTTTGAGGTGATTTCTAAACAAAACATCCCGCAGCCCGTACAGAATGGGACTAGCACATCTTGGTAAAATCTGAACCAAAATATACCAGACATATATTGCATGTAAATAATACAGAGGAAATAGTTGAACAATACTTTTCAGTGCCATTGGATAGACATAGGTTAACATGCACAACAGCAACTGAAATGAATGCAACACAATAGTATTTCGAGCCTTTTTAGTCTCAGAGCATTTAACAGATTTAAGAGATTTGGCAGCAAAGAATATTTTAAAATAAGTGTAAATAAAAACAAGCCAAACACTAACAAAATACAAAATATATAAAGCTTCTTTCTTTTGAATAATAATTGAATTTGTAACCAAATTGCTAATATTACAATAAAGAGTAGAGAGGAACAGCTGACCAGAGTTTGTTGCCATGAAATAAATTATGTCTGGTAGTGATGACAGTAAGCTTAAGGCCCAAATACATGCAATCAATATGTAAATCCTTTTAACAGTACACATTTCAGAGTGCCGAAGGGGGAAACACACAGCAATATAACACTCCACTGCCATCACTGCTAAGTTTAGAGGAGTGTTGACAGAAGTGAAGGCTGCAAAGGCCACTATAATGCAACAAAGAAAGGCATTGATGTTTGAAATATAACTCAGCACAAACAGAAGGATGCTTGTCTTCAGCTGGATCATGTCATTGATCACCAGGTGAATGAATAAGACATAGCGAGGGTTTGTGTAAAAGACCTAACACAGAAACAAAATGAAGTCAACATTCACAATTCTTTTTTTTTTTCTTTTTTTTTTGTGGAAAACCCAATCTCACCTGGTGTTTCCGGAAGGTGTAGATCATAGTTGCATTGATGTAGTTGATGGTAATTCCAAGAGCCACAACCAGAACATTTTTGGCTAGTGCAGAGTCAAAAGAATCTCGTTTGAATTGGCCTGTTACTGCAGTAGATACATTTTGACCCAGCAGTGAAGAATTCATTGAATTCATGCAAAAATGCTGGAAAAAATAAAAACACATCTCATGATTTGTGTTGATATATTTGGGTCAATACATATTCACCTCATATTAAGATGGAAAATTACTTACCCCAGTAAGTTACCAAAGGTAAGATGTTCAAGTGCTCCTTGGTAAGTGACAACAGTTTTTCAGAGCCTGGCCTTATATTGAAATCCCAAATGGGTGTTGCTGTTTGAAATTATGTAATGGTTTTGAAGCATTAACATTTTGATCACTGGTTCTCCTCCATCAAACTGAAAGTTAGGGGTTAGGACCCAAACTTAGGGTCCACATGAGATTCCTGGAGAAAAGGTCTAAAGTAGATTGCTTGTTTTGTATTGAAAGGATGGTATATGCACTGGATCCATTAGTATTTTATAATTAATACTGTTCTAAAACATTTATCTACATTCATGAAAAGAAACTGTATATAACATTTGATTGCAAATTGTGATTATTCGTTACAAAAACAATGGACGTGATGCCCAAGTTGTTTGTGTTAGAATTATGAGTTTTTGTTTTCAGGAATGAGAATGAGCCTCACATGAGCCTCTTATTCATCATCAAGTCCAATCCAGTTAGTTTCAACCTAAAAAGGTCTCTCTCTGTCGAGTTTGAACATGTCAAATCATAGCTCCTAACGTCTAGCTCCTAACTCATTTATCTTTGAAGCTATGTCATGGGGTCAACCACAACAGTCCTCATCTGAGAGGAGAAAGAGCTTCAGCTGTGTTTGGAGAATCTGGCAGTCCTAACCAGCGGTGGGATCAGCACAAAATCCATGTGATCCTACATTAGTTTATTAAGAATATAACACCCACAAAATGGACTACAATAAATGCTTCTCAATTTCCTGCTCTACTTTTAATGAAATTTTAGCATGACAGTGTACATAAATGACCCGAGTGTTTTCACATGAGAGAGGATGCTGCTGTGGAGTAAGAAAGATTTGCAATAAACCTCACAGACTGTACGATCTGTAAACATGAACCACCTGCAACATCTCCATATGTGCCCAGGCACAGAAGAGAATAAATACTAGTATATCCTCTGGACTCACCATCAGCTGCAGCCTCTGTCCTGTCTTTTGTTCCAACAGATATTTCACCAAATCCTGTTCTTTTGTCTGTCTGCATTAGCAGAGAGTGTGTATGGGCTCCATCAATGGAGTTTATGCTCATGAGCCATGTGGCTTTAAATTTCATTTCTATAAACGTAAACAATGAGCAGAGATCTTCCTTATGTCATTAGATAATCTCCAAATAAAATACGTGAAGCTGCAATGGCCCTAAAAGCTTTTATTTTCATTCTCATATAAGGTTGTATTTATCCAGGTGTATTGTATAATGTCTGATTGAATGAAACTTTACAAACTCTCCGTGTAGACATCAGCCATGTTCAAAAACATTCAGGAAAAATGTGCAGTGCCTTGTGGGATGTCTCATAGCTCTTTACTACTGGTTAGGAAGCTCCCAAGGTTTCTATGCTGAAGGAGGTATGAAAGGAAGCATGCAGGCTCCTTTTCCTAACTCTTTCCTAATTCAGTGCACTATTCAGACAGTCCTTAGCATGGCAGATGGTGACGCATATTGGTTTTGGCTTAATGGAGCTTAAAGGTCAAACCCCAGCACCTACAGCCAAACAATTATCAGTGTTAGTGCAGCCTCTGTAGTTCAGGGACAATACGTTTCTTAAGTGCACACAGTATAACTTTGATTTTGATGTAGTTTCTAAGCCTGTCTTGTGCTGGTTCTAACTCGGTGCATCAAAAATCAAAACCTGTCAATATATTGTTCTCAGCGAATACAGCATTTTCAATACAATAAAAGGAAACATAGTGATCCAAATATGTAATGTTCTAGTAGTTAATACCCGATAGAAGTAAAATACCCCCTCTTTAACTATTCATGACTCAAGCAAATTGAACATGGCAGGTACTTTTTCAGGTGATTTCTAAACAAAACATCCCGCAGCCCGTACAGAATGGGACTAGCACATCTTGGTAAAATCTGGACCAAAATATACCAGACATATATTACATGTAAATAATATAGAGAAAATAGTTGAACAATACTTTTCAGTGCCATTGGATAGACATAGGTTAACATGCACAACAGCAACTGAAATGAATGCAACACAATAGTATTTCGAGCCTTTTTAGTCTCAGAGCATTTAACAGATTTGAGAGATTTGGCAGCAAAGAATATTTTAAAATAAGTGTAAATAAAAACAAGCCAAACACTAACTAAATACACAATATATAAATAGTCTTTTTTTTTAATAAAAATATGATTTGTAACCAACGTGTTAATACTACATAAAAGATTAGAAACAAACAACTGACCAGAGTTTGTTGCCATGAAATAAATTATGTCTGGTAGTGATGACAGTACGCTTAAGGCCCAAATACATGCAATCAATATGTAAATCCTTTTAACAGTACACATTTCAGAGTGCCGAAGGGGGAAACACACAGCAATATAGCACTCCACTGCCATCACTGCTAAGTTTAGAGGAGTGTTGACAGAAGTGAAGGCTGCAAAGGCCACTATAATGCAACAAAGAAAGGCATTAATGTTTAAAGAATTGCTCAGCACAAACAGAAGGATGCTTGTTGTCAGCTGGATCATGTCATTGATCACCAGGTGAATGAATAAGACATAGCGAGGGTTTGTGTAAAAGACCTAACACAGAAACAAAATGAAGTCAACATTCACAATTCTTTTTTTTTTTTTTTTTTTTTTGTGGAAAACCCAAACTCACCTGGTGTTTCCGGAAGGTGTAGATCATAGTTGCATTGATGTAGTTGATGGTAATTCCAAGAGCCACAACCAGAACATTTTTGGCTAGTGCAGAGTCAAAAGAATCTCGTTTGAATTGGCCTGTTACTGCAGTAGATACATTTTGACCCAGCAGTGAAGAATTCATTGAATTCATGCAAAAATACTGGAAAAATAAACACAAGATTTCTGTTAATATTTGTGAATACATTTTCACCTCACATTAAGATGTACAATTACTTACCCCAGTAAGTTACCAAAGGTAAGATGTTCAAGTGCTCTTTGGTAAGTGACAACAGTTTTTCAGAGCCTGGCCTTATATTGAAATCCCAAATGGGTGTTGCTGTTTGAAATTATGTAATGGTTTTGAAGCATTAACATTTTGATCACTGGTTCTCCCCCATCAAACTGAAAGTTAAGGGTTAGGACCCAAACTTTGGGTCCACATGAGATTCCTGGAGAAAAGGTCTAAACTAGATTGCTTGTTTTGTATTGAAAGGATGGTATATGCACCGGATCCATTAGTATTTTATAATTAATACTGTTCTAAAACATTTATCTACATTCATGAAAAGAAACTGTATATAACATTTGATTGCAAATTGTGATTATTCGTTACAAAAACAATGGACGTGATGCCCAAGTTGTTTGTGTTAGAATTATGAGTTTTTGTTTTCAGGAATGAGAATGAGCCTCACATGAGCCTCTTATTCATCATCATTGTATTAGTGCTTAACAACGTATCATGCCTGAACTACAGAAAAAGGATAGACTGCCTCAATCTGAACTGAATCCAAGGATTTATTCTTTCCCAGAGAACAGGGTCAGTTACTTAATAATAGAGATGATCTGTCAGGAGCAGTGTTGGGGGAGTTACTTTAAAAAAGTGGTGTTTGCTTGTTACTTGTTACTTCTTTAAAATCCCTTACTTTATGTAGTTACCCTCTATGGGAAGTATCTTTTTACGTTACTCATTAATTTGGCAAGGTTTTGGTAGTAAACTCCATGTACAAAAGACCCTTTAATTTATATGTTCTTGCAGCATTAGATTTGTTGTAGCTATTGTTTGGTTCAGTTGTAATCTGTGGAGTGTTCACTTGGGGGCGGTCCTGCCTCCTGCATTGTGTGAGGAGTGACTGGAGAAAAACGTGGTTCCTGCAGCTGAAGTTTTCCTATTAAATCCTGCAGATTGTCATTGTTTAAAGAAATGTGTGTTCATGACAGCAGTAAGTGTATGTCTGTAATGATGTTGTGTGTGTCTTGTAAGTTTCTAGCTTCACCTTGTACTGTTGTTAGCCTGTAGACTGCACAGCTTGCATGAGTTAAGCTAATTCTTGTGCTAATTTCGATGTGGTTGTGTAGGCTATATGTATCTTAGTTTATTATTACTGTTTAATTGTGTATGGTATGTTATGTTAAAGGAAACTGAGTGAATTTATGTTTGTGTATGTTATCTAAGGCTAATACCAGCACGAGGCGATAGTCGACAAGTACCGTAAGGGAAAGTTGACAAGAGCTTTGAAGACAGAGTTCAAGAGGACGTGAAACCTTTAAGAGGTAAACGGGTAAGGTCCATGTGGAGGGGCCTGCCTGGGGAATTCAACTCAGTGGGCAAGGGACAGTCGCTTGGTGCGGGAGGATCCCCTCGAAAGACCTCTCCCTGGGAGTTGCTGGCCCCTGCCGAGCGCACTTCCTCCGAGGCGGTGCACTGCGATTGGCACTGGGTTAGCCAAGAAAGGCTCAAGGTCAAAGTGTCACGATGCTCCAGCTGTGTGCTTTGCAGCTCCTCCTGCCCAGACCTCGCCACTTCCTGGGACCATGGGATCAGTACCCGCTGGGCCCATGTACACAGAAAAGTAACATTGTGCCGAATTGAAAAAGGAGCTACCTTTGTTACCATACTTTCAGTAGCAGCTTGTTACACAATTTTTACCTGAAAAAAAAACACCCAGCACTGATCAGGAGATTGTCTGTTTCTTTTTGGATGAACACAACCTGTAGGCAAATGTGGATTGCATCAACATTGGGCTGGGAACAGTCTCTGCAGTAGACACCTGCTTGGGTTTTGTTGTTACCTTGAACAATACCAATGATCTGTTGTTTTTGTGGTTCCTTAGAAGATGAATGCTGCTCCTGACAAACCTCCAGCTCCAGAACAGTAGTAGTATATCTTCGGCGTGTGTTTCTTCACATGAACAGGTCAGGGGAGTAGCAGCCACATTTTTCAGGAAAATCTCAGCTTGTGTGCTCACTGCGCTTGGTGGGCAGCGGGAGTCTGGAGGGCCCACCAGTGTACTGTTGCTTATCAGAATTCCTGTACTTGATCTCGCACTGATGAGGTGACAAAAGCAGAACCCATTGCTGCAGGTGGCTGGCTAACATGGGGGGGATACTTGTGTGAGGACCATAAAAACCCAGAAAGCTTCTATTTTCAGTTCCAAGGTCTGGACATTGTTGATGTGGAGTTTTGGCAGCGGTTTGAGCAGGAAAGGAATGATGATGCTGAGAAATCTGGAGAGAGTGCTCTTTACAGGACTGCTGAACAATGTAGTGGAACATTTTCTTGAAATCCTGTCAGACATTTTGAAGATCCAGCTTCAGATGTTCAAAATTACTTACTGCTGTGAATCTACTTCTGATGTTGCTGTGCAAAAAGGGGATGACCCCAGAGGTTGGTGGTCTCTTTCTTGTAGTGCGGCTGGCCTCTGCTGATTCAGAAGAAGTTTCAGCTGAAATTCTGTCTCAGTAGCAACGTGAGCCAAACCACAGTGCAGAGTGCATCCAAGCGTTTTCTGACCATTTACATATACATTTACTTTACACATTACTTGAAGTATTTTTTGGCTAAGTTAATGAACAAACTTTAGAGAAAATTTGCCAGCTAAATTGCCATGTTTCATTAGAGTGGTGTTTTCTATTAAATAATTGTTGTGCCTTAGTATTTAATTATGCAAATAAATAGAATACTTGAGTCCTCATTTCACACTGTTGTAATTATTGAAGCATTTAACACCTGACTTTATTATGTTTATTATGTTTATTGGGATCTGATCAGATACCAATACTTGGCCTTAATGTACTCGCCAATGCCTATACTAGTCGGCTACTGCATAGTGGGAAGAAGTAGATTAGATTAGACTAGACTAAGGTTAATCAATTTTGCTAAGGTACAAGAGCAAAATGTAACTATTAAAATTCTCTTTAAAATGCACAAGAATATAATTTTGAGGGCTTCAGTATTAAAGCCATATGTATATGTATGATTTAAGCACTTTTACTTTTCTAGTTCATCACTTTTTACCCCATAGTGCAGACAAAAACTAGCCTGATTCATCAGCCGGTTTCACTTCGTGGAAACCGTCTGACCTCGCAGCATTAGGATTCGTTTGCTGGATGGTAGGCATGTTTTTTTTTTTAACCAATCACTGCTATTTTGTTTTTTAAGAGAACATTCATGAATGAGGCTCAGTGATTTATAAAAACAAATTTACTTTTATATTTATGTTCCAATGTTCTAAATATGTGCAAAATATTTAAGTATACCAACCACAACCTCACCTGCCACACGCTTCACATTCATAAAAAAAACTCTTTCTATGTGCTTGCGAATGTGCTCTTTCAATACTTCTACCGGTAGGGAGGGTGTGTGTGTGGGCAATCTGCGACATATTCTACTACACATATAAATTCTATTAAATATAATATTTAACACATTATTTGTTATTTATTAATTATTCATTTTACCCACTTATAATTTATTTATTTATTTGAATAAACTCTGGTCTGATTTACTCATGAACTTGGTTAAAAGTTTTTGATTTGTCTTGACTACATCTTAAGTGATATTGAGGGTTTTTGTTAGTGCACTATTTCTCTGCGACAGAATTTGGTGAACAGAACAGCAGCTCCAGTCAAGCTTAGGTCTGTGTTAGCAGCTCTACATGCTATTAGCTCCTGGACAAACTTAATGAAGCCCCTCTGTCCTCTGCGTGTCACAAAATAAAGCCTGCGATAAGTCAGGGATGAATAAATATTCCAGTGGACTTCTGATGTGCAGTGAACAGCTCTAGTGCAGGCAACAGGCCGAGAACGTAGACGCAGCAGCAGCCTGCCCTGTGTGTCCCTCTGCTCCCTTCAGAAGTGAGTGCATTGCGGGGAGTGAGACGGGCCAGAGACGGGCTGACAATCACAGGCTGAAGATGAACATTTATTTAGAACATGTTATAGATTATATTATATTATTTTCATACTTACTAAGCATCTTTCACACACAGCTAATACGTAAAAAAAAAAAAAGAGATAGGCCATGAGATAACTACAGAAAAGTTTGATAGAAATCAGCCCTGCAGTCATTTTTCATTTAACATATTACTATATCAAGATCTTTGACAGTTTTTTGACATAAGAATGAAACAGCTGCAAACAAATATTATTCCAGACCTCACCAAACTTAACTGTGTTAGATGCACTTGCCACAACTAATTCAGACTGAGAAGGCCTAATCTCACCATCCTCCACAGACATTATTTCTTATCTTCTATGGACTGACCCTTTATGAGTCGCGCTGCAGGAGAGATGCTTCTTCAGATGTTCTCTAAACATTACATCTCGCAGCCCATAAACCATAGGGCTCAGAAACCTGGGGAGGATTTGCAATAATATGTACCACACAAACAGGAAGTGGATATATATTCTTGGGATCATAATTAAAACAAGTTTTTGGACAGTGGGATACACATACATTGACATGCACAGTAAGAGCTGAAAACTATGTAACAAAATAGTATTCCTGGCCTTTTTGGCATCAGTATTTGTTGTTTTTGCTGATCTGGCAACTAAAAATATCTGGACATAAGTGTAAATCAGAACAAGCCAAACACCAGCAAGATACAATGCAAACATGACTTCTCTCTCTTTTTTCATTATGGGATTTCGAAACAAAAATACAGAGTCACAAAAAACAGTGGTGAAGAATAGAGCAGGCTCAGTTGCTGCAAGATAAAATATGTCTGGTAAAAATGACAATAAGCTCAAGGCCCACATACATGCAATCACTATATAAATCTTTTTGATGCTGCACAACTGGGAGTGCTGAAGGGGGAAGCATATGGCAACATAGCACTCCACCGCCATCACTGTTAAATTCATAGGAGAGTTAAGTGTTGTGAAAACAGCAAATGCAAGAATAATACAACAAATAAATGTGTTAATGGTGTAGAAAACATAAGTGCACACATAGAGAGTGATGGCAGTGGTGAGCTGGATCATGTCATTCACCACCAGATGGATGAAGAGGATGTAGCGAGGGTTGTGGTAAAAGACCTAAGACAAGCACAATACAGTTCAAAGTTAAATAAAATAAAATACATAAGAAGTGGATCAAATAACAAAAAAATTATGAAAATTGCACTTTAAAATGAAAATCAAAACTCCCCCTATAAATTACTCTAGTAGTTAAAACTACCTAAATCAATACAAATATTCAGATTAAGAACTAATCTAAATATAATTTTTGTATATAGTTACATTATATGGATTCTATATTACATTCTCTATTACCTATCCTAGAGCATAACATACTGTATGTGAATCCATTACTGCAAAATATAGAATTAATTTATTGCAATTATATTTGCAATACATAATAGATGGATAAATATGTCAGCATTACTGACCTGGTGTTTACTGAAGGTGTAAATGAGGGTCCCGTTTAAGTAATTAATAGATATTCCAAGCAAAACAACTGTTAAATTTTTGGCTATAGCTGTGCTGAATGAGTCTGAATAGAGGACATAAGATGACCCATTTTGACCAGACGATGAATTCATGGAAGCGCTATTTCAGAAAGGAATGTATGCATTATTCAAAAGATATAACTAACAAAAATGAATAAGAGTTCAGTTGTCTGTCTATAGACATACCTCGAATGTGGCTCACCCTCCTGAAATGAAGATCAGAGGTAAACTGAGCTTTATATCAAGTTCTCACAGGGAGGTTGTTAAGGATGATGTAATTTGTAAACCAACACATTGGAAACAACAAAAGCCTCTGGGCCCAAAATATATCTACTTATCCTACTTGCTTAAATACAAATATTATATTTTATGGGGACAATGGGCCTCCTTCATGAAAAGAAACAAATTTGTACTCCAGGGATTCTTCTTCTTTATCTTCTTAGAGTAGAAGTTATGACATTTTTTAACGAAAATATTCATGAATGAGGCCCAATGTTATGTTTTTGTTAAGGCAGAAGTGGTGGAAGCGATCAGGCATTTGTTTTTGTCTGGCCAAGCTCAAGCACATTGCCCTGTGTGAAACCCTTATTGACAACTGTAGTCATAGTAAAATGGCGGTTTGAGACTGGAAGAAGTTTGAGACTTGTGTTTAGGATGCATACGCTTCTTCTGCAACAAATTGAGGAATTGCTCTCTTCACTCACTGGTACTAGTTAGTTTCCCTATTTAGAATCTGCAAGCAGATACAATCGGCTGTCATTTTCTAAGAAGGATCGAAAAGACCTCATTTTGAACTGCTTTTGTCTTATTCAAATGGAACCAAATGCTGTTTGTAATGACAACCACGGATACCCCAATCCATTTTTTCAGTTCCGATACCAATACTATGGCTGCAGTTACCTGATATTAACCTATACTGTAGCAGAGACCGAAACAGTGGTGGCTGGTCAATAGAGGGTGCAAGTGCGCCACACTCCCTAACTTGACCTAGATTTAAAAAAAAATATCAAGTCATTATTTTGTATTAGGCTATATATTTAATATTTTGTTTAAAATTTAAGGTGTATCTGTATCTAGACATATTTTTATCATGTTAAAGGTTGTATGGAGGATTTTTTTTGTTTCAAGTTGTCAATGATAGCATTATAGAGGTGCACTAGCCTTGTAATTATGATGACCAAAAAAAAGAGAATAAAAATTCATCAACTCTGGACGTGGTGGGGCTAAACATTTGCCAATAGATAACAACACTGCCTCGTTATCTGTTAGCTGACAGGCTGTCAATCAAACTCCCTACGTTTCTAGCGTAACTGACTTGCCTGCACGCCGCCGGTACGTGGTTTACGTACGCCTGTCACGCAGTCCACAGACGCAAGACGCACAGACGCTGTTTACTCCACCAACGCAACAGTTCTTAGTGGCTTTTTTGACCTATATCTTCCTTGCAGTTAGCACAAAGTTTGTTGCAATGGCGACAAGAATCTACGAGCAGTTCGCCGCAAAAGAAAGTCCGTTTTTGAGGTCGCTGAAAGAAGAAGACAAGGGGAAAAGCAGCGAAGCCAAACTAAGGTGATTCTTGTAGAGTCATTCCAGCGATGGCGCGACTGAAGCAGACGAAGGGTCTAAAGACTGACGCACTGGTCGCCAAATTACTCCTGGACAGGTCACTTCTGCTTATTATGAAAACGTACTTTATTTCCAAGAGCTAGACAAACGTTTTTCAGGACACGAATGCGATATCCTATGTCTGAAAACGTAATTTTCAAGGCAAAGAAAGAGTCCGCTTGCTGCTGCGTGTTGTAGTAGTAGCTAGTTCATTCGCACGGAATCTCCGCGCACCCCTCTCTGCTCCTCTCCCCGCTGCCCGTTCCGCTCTTCCCCCTGCTCCTCACTTCTTCTCTGCGCACGGAATCTCCGCGCACCGCTCCCCTCTCCTCTCTCCTCTCTTCTCCTCTCCCTGCTCCCTGCTCCGCTCTTCTCCCTGCTCCTCACTTCTTGTCCGCGCATGAAATGTCCACACACCCCCTCCCCCTACTCCTCATTTCTCCGCCTTGCCTAACCAACACTGTAGTTAGTTGTTTACAAGTCATGTGCAGCGCACCGGCTGTAAACAAACCTGTTTCTGGCGTAAGGAGGAGGAGGGAGGAGGTGTCTCAACTTCCTGAATTAGCTTGTGTTGTGGCTTTGACATCAGGCTTTGGCAGGTGGTGAGTTGCTCTTTCACAAGAGTACTGCTTCGAAAATAAGCAACAATTTTTCAGGCCCTCTCTCTTATGCCAGCCCCTCTGTTTGCTCAATGGCCTTTTTCACCACCAAGTTTAGAGCATGTGCAATGCATATGGTGTGCCGCACCTGCAATCATATTTTTTGCTCCATCTGTGACAAGGCAATTGACTTTTTCTTTTATGCCCCAATCTTCCATGAGGGAGGTCTTCTTTACAGCAATGTTTAAAGCAGTGTGGGACTGTGGGAAATGACTCACTCTCAACAAGACAGCTGACAGTGAACCAGACGTATTAATGAAGTGGCAAGTGACTGCTAGATATGCCAAGGCAAGGCAAGGCAAGTTTATTTGTATAGCACAATTCATACACAAAGTAATTCAAAGTGCTTTACAGAATAAGAAATACATTAAAATCATAATAAAAAACAAATCAAAACATAAATAATAATAAAGATTAAAATAAAAAAGAGACATAGATCAGAGAGAAGAGTGCGGAATGAAAACTTTTCAGTCATATGCACAGTCAAACAGAAATGTTTTGAGCCTGGATATAATAGCGTCAAAGTAGAGTCGGTCTCACATGTTCAGGAAGACTGTTCCAGGTTTTAGCTGCATGAACCTGAAATGCTGACTCCCCTTGTTTATTCCTGACTCTGGGCACCAGCAGGAGACCGGTCCCTGAGCTCCTCAGAGTGCGAGATGGTTCATATGACACTAACATGTCACAGATGTACTTTGGTGCTTGGCCATGGAAGTCTATTCTCTGAGCCACAGGAAGCCAGTGCAGAGACCTGAGCACAGGACTTATGTGCTCGTACTTCCTAGTTCGAGTAAGGACCCGAGCTGCAGCGTTCTGGATATACTGCAGCATCTCACAGCTCGTTTGGAGAGTCTAATCTACTGGAGACAAACGCATGGATAAGTTTCTCCAAGTCTGCTTTACACAGTAAAACTTTGATTTTTGCTAAGTTTTTTAGATGGTAAAAGGCTGCAGATGTTATTGATTTGATGTAGATGTTAAAGTTCAAGTCTGAATCCCTATTTCCCCTAGATTTCTTGCCTGATTTGAACGTTTTAGAGAGAGAGACTGGAGGTGACTGCTGACACTGTCCCTTTGTTTCTGTGGACCAAACACTATGACTTCAGTCTTGTCAGAGTTTAGCTGGAAAAAATTGTTTTGCATCCACACACTGATCTGTTGGATGCAGTGACAAAGTGAGTCCACTGGTCCATAGTCTCCTGCTGCCAGAGAGACATCGATCTGAGTGTCATCTGCGTAACTGTGGTAGGACACGTTATTGCTGCTTATTAACTGGCCTAATGGCAGCATGTAGAGATTGAACAACACGGGGCCCAGGATTGACCCCTGAGGCACCCCACAGGTCAGGGCCATGTGATCTGAGACACAGTTTCCAGTTTCAACAAAATACTTCCTGTCTTCTAGATAGGACTTGAACCAGTTTAGTACAGTACCAGAAATGCCCACCCAGTCCTCTAGTCTCTGTAAGAGGATCCCATGATCGACAGTGTCAAAAGCAACACTCAGATCTAACAGGATCAAGACTGAGACTTTGCTTGCATCAGTGTTCAGGCAGGATGTCATTTGTCACCTTGATAAGAGCAGTCTCAGTGCTGTGGTGGGCTCTAAAACCTGACTGGAAAACATCAAAGGAGTTGTTAATGTGGAGAAAGTTCGTAAGCTGTTGGTAAACAGCTTTTCCAAGGACTTTGCCAAAAAACGGCAGATTTGAGATGGGTCGGAAATTATTCAGTTCTGTGGCATCAAGACTGCTCTTCTTTAGGAGAGGTTTAATGACCACAGTTTTCAATGCGTTTGGGAATGTTCCAGATTGAAGTGACATGTTAACTATGTGAGTGAGTGGTGAAAGTAAACTGTTGAGGACGGACTTTAGAAATCTAGTGGGTAACATGTCCAGGCAGCAAGTAGATGAACTCAGACTGGTAACGATCTCTAAAACAGTTTGTCATTTACAGGTGCATATGCCTCCATATGCAGAGAGGTCCACATGTCTGAAGTCAGACAGACTGCAGTGGCCTTTCGCACATTTTTCTTGGCCTTCTCCTTCTCCTCCAGATACCTTCTTTCCGCCATATCCTTTAAGGATTTTCTGCATGGCAGGACATAGTTTGGAGCAGCAAATTTTACAAAATCTCTGAAGCCCTCAGCCTCCGCAATTGAAAATGGCTGGCAGTCTTTAATTATCATGTCCACCAACTGTGCATCCAGAGCCTCCTTTGCAAATTCTGTAGAGAAAAAATAAAAGTTACAAATATTCTATCATACATGACAATTCAGTGAAAGCTTAGGCAGAGCATGAGTGCATGTGTGGATCCCAGATACACATTCTTAAAAGTTAAGACTTATAAATCTGACTGTAGATAGCTACTCGATTCTCTAAGTGCAAATAGTAAGTGGCAATAAGAAGAAAAAGGAAGAAGGCCCAAGTTTAACTGAAAGTTATTTAACCAGTGTATCTAAATATACATCTAAATAACAACTGTGCAGACAATAATGCAGTATACATGTTCAAGCCCTTAGTTTAAAGCAGGAACTGTTAAAATAATACCACTGCCGTTGCTGCTGTACCTAGCAGTGCTTTGCACGATAGTGCCTCTGCATTGAAGAAGTTGTGTTATTATAACACAGTTCGCTTGAGCAAATCAAGCATTTTAAGGATAAAATGGAGAAGGATATGAAACATGAGCTAAACACATAAATAGGCTAAATCATTAAATAAAACTAAATAACCCAAATGCACACCTTTAGGCATAGGCTAAATTTTACTTTTAATAAGCATACTAAAATAGGTTTTCTGCAGCCCAACTGTGTCAGCAGAATGTAGCCTAG